CGGCGGGTTCCTGCCCCGTCACTCGGCGCGTCGCCCCCGGGAGGCGCTGCGACGGGCGACGGGGACCCGCGCGTCGCCCCCCGTCGCCCGTCGTGGCCTGCGCGCGGCCCGTACGGGCTGCGCCAGGCACGCGCGCGGCCCGTACGGGCTGCGCCAGGCCCGCGCGCGGCTCGGACCGCCTGCGCGCGGTTCGGGAGGCTGTGCCAGGCCCGTGGGCGGCCCGTTCTTCGCTGCCCCTGTCCTCCCCGCTGTCCCCCGTGCTTCTGAAGGCGCCCCACCCCTCCTTCTGCCCGTTCTCCTGGATTAGGGTTTGGGGTTGGGGGGTATGGGGGTGCAGCTTCTGTGTGCCGTTCCCTGCTCCTCCTCCTCCTCCGTCTCCCTGTGCTGCAGCTGCCGCTGAGGGGGGTGGACCTGTTGGAGCCGTCGGAGTGGTACTAAGGGGGGGTGAAGGGGGAGTGGAGCTAGCGGTGTAGCAGCGGGTGTGTGTCGAGGGGTGTGGGACTGTTGGGGGAGGTTGAGGGGAGGTTGCCGTCGTGTCGTACGCAGCGCCTGTACTCCGGGGCACTCACTCCCGGTAGCTCAGAGAGCCGGTTGCGCCGTCGCCTGTGGGTCCGTTGCTCCTGCTGCTCGTCTTAGCCGCGGAGCCTGTTACTCCTGTACTCCGGGGCACTCACTCCCGGTAGCCACTGTGTCGCACCAGAGCCGTCTGTTGCCCGTGTGCCTGCAGCTTCAGTCGTCGCCTCCCATCTACTCTCCTCTCGCCAGCCCTCCTCCTCCTCACTTGCCCGTTGTGACTACCACTAGCTTTGCTCATAATTGTGAACTTTAAACTATTGCTTCTTGAACTTGTGCTCAGAATGTGTGGTGACATTGTGATCCACCCTGAGCTTGTACTGCTTTGCTTGCTCTGCTGATTACACCCCACTTTGGCTATGGGGGTGTGTCAGAATATTATGCTCTAGCCTGTAGTGGGGTGCTCTGTAGCGAGTACAACCCTTCTAGGGTTTGCTATTTGTATCCCCATTCTTGCTAGTGCAACCCTCCTCTTTCGCCTAAACTCTCTTGCCTAGCTAGGACTCTCCTAGCTATGGCTCCTAAGACTACCGCTTATCTTGACAGAGGGCCCGTCTGCTACTGACTCCCAGCGTTTTTCTGCTGCTTGGTCTGTTTCTGCTGCTCAGCTTCACCCTTTCCCTTAGCTTTTGCCGTGCATTCGCTTTTGCGTTGTCCCGGTCGATTGCACGCGAAGCATCGCCCTTTAAGCGGTGCGGCAGCGGCATTCGTGGCGACGACACGTATCGTAGCGCTCTCATTCGACCCACGAGACCGATGTCCCCAGTTGCTGCAATTTCCATAGGACCCCGGCCTCGGTCGGCGGAAGAAGTCGAGTTTCTCCGCAATATTCGGGCACCTCCACGAAATACGACGGCGCCCAGGGTCCGGTTTGTCCTTTTCGTATCGGTAGAGTTGCGTAGTCCGTCGGCTTCATGACGATGACACGCCACCAATCCATGGCGGGTCCTCGAAGCAGTGACACGACGTAACGAATCTTCGCCGTATCCTCCGAGACGTAGTTGGCATCGAAGAAAGCGTTCATTGTAAACAACCACGCCTGAACGGTAGGACCACCCCGTTGACTTGTGTCAAAGCATGACGGACGTTGCGGCTTCAGCGGCATCGGCGACTGCAGCGTTGACTCGCTGGTCGGTACGGAAATCGTAACTCGAGGCTGGCTTCTGGCCGCATTCGTTGTTTCGGGGTGTGTCGCGCCGTGGCCGCATTCGTTGTTGCGGATGACGCCATCGCTGGCCGCTCTCACGGGTCGCCCCACACTTCCGTGCTGCGATGCTTGTTGTGCGGGTTGTCCTGGTGTGCCTGGTGCTTGTGATTGTGCTTTTCGTGCTCGTGCGTCGTCATTTTGCAGGGAGTCACGTTCTGCCATCAGCGCCGCAATTTCTTCGGAGCTTTCGTGCAGCTGCTTCAGCAGTTTGTTCAAGCGCTCCTGCGTAAGCGTAGTGATGTCGATGTGTTCAGCCATGTCGAAGGGCGTCGACTCATCTGAGTCTAGGCACAGCCGTGGCTGCACGCGTTTACGAGAGAACACGGGGACAGCGGCTCCTAGGGGCTAAGGGGCGTGAGCCTCTTGGAGTAGAAAATCAAAAGTTGATTTCTTGGGGTGCGGAGATGCGCGGTCCAAAAAGAAGGTGGCTTTGATAACCAGTGTTACGGGTGCAACGAATCGAGGTACCGATGATTGCGCTAGGTGTCGAACGAGTACAAAGTTTGAGCGAAGGCATGAGAAAATACTTATACGCAAAACATGCGAACGGTAATGTGGTGCGTGCGTTCTAGCTAGTGCTAGACTGGCATCGAGGTCCGGGCTAGTCCCGAAGCGTATGCCGACTCGGCTGGGCTAGCGATGTATGGTTTGGTGAAACAGTGCGCGCGAAGTTGGCGAAGCCTCGTTAACAATAACGGGCAAACAACGGTTGCGACTTTACGCGATGTTGACGGTCGCAGTAAGGAATGGCAAGAAAATTACTTACAGAAGGACAGAACTATTCTCTAGATGAGAGTCTAGGGCTGAGGGAACATTGCAAAAAGCGTTTGAATTCAAAAAGCGTTTGCAAATAGCGCGTACAATTGACAGTTCCCCGCTGTCGAGTCGAGGCACACAACACTAGCCCTGCAGGTGCCAGGCAGGCTGGTTGGCACGGCGTGGATCCGCACTCACCCTCATTTCATTCCTCGCGCTGCGTGCCCATCTGGTGGAGCGCAGTAACGGCGGTATGAGGGTATGCCGATTGCTGGCGTGCTCGTACGTCGCAATAGTAACGCCCGTAGACCGTCGATACGCCCACACGGTCGTACCAAGTTTCAAGTCTCATTGCTCAAACGCGACGTGCATAGGGAACGAGAAATAATTCGTTGGAGCTCCTGCATTCAGGTTTTTTTCGTAGCCGTATATCCTGCGACGCGTCTTCGTTCGACGCGCTGCCATGGCGCCGCGAGAAGCTGCCGACCGTCCACGATGGTTATGGCTGACGATTGTGCTGTCCTCGGCGATCCACGTCAGTGCCGCGCCAAGCGTTGACGAAAGTATGCAAGGCCGTTGTCAGCACGAGGCTCGTCGCGTCTATTAGTAGACACGAAAGTGCTTTCTTCGTGACTATTTCGTGACTGTTTCGTGGCTGTTTCGCTTACATCCCGGCCGGTCGCACTGCTCACGCTTGTTTTGTGTGGGCATGAGAAGTCAATTTTCTGAGACGTCTTTAGAGTCGCACTGCTGCTGCTGCTGCTGGGGCTGTTAGGGCATGCAAAAGGTCTCTTGTCAGATGCGCGGCATCATGCGCCCGAGTCCTGATCCGCGACTCATAGTGGCGATTCTTGGCAAGTAACCACGCGCAACGAGGGACCAACGCAGCGCCTTCACATACTTTTCTTGGAACCGGGGATTCACGGACTTACAATGTCATTAGCAATATTCATCCCTCTTTCACTGCTCGGTTTCCCTTTCTCCTAAACTCTCAAGTCAAATTCCTAATTTTTCGAGTCCCCGTATCCTTCCTTGTTCCCCTTATCCCCCCGAATTCCTTCTATCCCGGTGATTCCGTTTACCCTCTCAATCCCGTTATTCCCCAGCCGCCACGAGCGCTCAGAGCGGATTTCTAGCGTCGCGGGTCCACGTGGAGGGCAGAGTGGCGGAGTTCGAAGGCGCGCTCAACTACCACGTGCCCTCGCTCTACAGGTCGAATAAGTTTTCAATCTAAAAACCGCGTGCATAAAAAACCACGTGCTCTCGCTCTACAGGTCGACTCCTGATGACCCAGCCTGAAATCGAGGTGTACTTATGAGGTTTCTCGTTGCCGATTCCATCACAAATGACTTAGAAAAGATCTTTTTCATTAATTTCAAAGTGATTCTAGTACAGCTAAATTAGGGTTTCTACTAGTCCTCGTGGGGCAAATTTCATTACGAAGTTGGAATCTGAGCTCAGTTGCCACGTGGCCGTACAGTACAGGTCCGTAAAGTGCCCCCCCCCCCTCCCCCCCCCCGCCCCTCTCTCCCTCCTCACCCACCCACACCAGAAACCACCCAGAGAGATCCTCCCTCAAAATTCAACCTTTGGACTCCCCCCTCGATCTCACCCGTCTACCCAACATAATGATGGGGTACTTTGAACACCGCCCCCACCATCCTTCGCCCTCGGACCCCAAGAGCCCTCTCGTGCTCGCCTGCCACGGCCCGCCCTGCCCCTCCTTTGGCGCCTGCTCGGCGCGCTTCCCCAACGTGCACGCCTGCTGGAACCCCCACCTCGTTGACCGACCCGAGGGCACACCCATCCCCCCTATTAACTGCCCCGTTAAGGGCACCAGCGGTGGGGAGCGCGGGGGAGGGGAGTTTGACCCGGAGTGCTCCCATCGAGAGGACTTCACACCACACGGGGGGTCCGCGCTGCAGGTGAGAGACTCCTCAAGAGGATATGGGAGTCACTGTTGAGAATCCTCAAGAGGGAGAAGGGGAGGGAAGTGGAGCGGGAAGGGGGGAGGGAGGGGGAGGAGGAGGGGGTTGGGGAGTTTGACCCGGGGTGCTCCCATTGGGAGGACTTCACACCGCACTGGAGATCGGCACCAGATGATTCCTCAGTCGACTTAAAAAGAGCAGGAGGGAGGGGGGAAGGGATGGAGAGGGAGCGTGGGAATGGGGTTTGTGATGTACAAAGGCTTTGCTTTTGTCATTCGATCTGCTTTTGAGACGCCCTCAATAGTCGTTTCTTATATCGGGCGCCTCAATGGCCGTTCTGTCAACCGCTACCGCGGCGCCTTAAAATTCGCATACTGTAATTTGTAATTCGGGCGGTCGGTGCTGCAGGTGATGCGGCTGGAGGACGTGTTTGTGACGGACAATGGCTTTGCTGTCAAGTCAACTGCTTCTGATGCGCCTTGAAACTCGTTGCTTAACCCGCTATGTTTGTGTTGGCTGGGCGGTGCACCGTGCAGGTGATGCGGCTGGAGGACATGTTTGTGACGGACAATGGCTTTGCTGTCAACCGCTCCCACGTGTTCGTGCGCAATGGGTGCCGACGGCTCTGGAGAAAGGTGAGGGTCGTGGGAGGGGCAGCGTTGGGTGAGGGGTGTGGGAGGGGAAGGGGTTGGCGAGGGGTGTGGGAAGGAAGGGCAGGGAAAGGGGTGTGGGGAGGCAAGAAGGAATGCGGGCAACGGTTCTGGAGGCAGGTCATGAGGAGTGGGAGTTTTAAGGGTGAGGGCTGGACATGAAACTTGCAGTCTTGAGAATGTAGTGTAATATGTTGTATGCATTGTTATGCAGTATGCAGAAAGAAATATGCTGTATGCCCTTGCAGTATGGAACGCGCAGTATGCTACGCGAGATAAATTACGCGTTACGGACCAAGTATGATGTATGCACTATGCATATACGAGCATTCAAGTGGGCGCACCTCATGGGGGGGAACTCCTACCACTTCTTTGTTGATCCGTGCCACTAGCAACGTTCTATGGCACCCACCGCCATACAGGGAAGCAGATTCCTAGCAACGTTCTATGGCAAAGGGGGGAAGGGGGTGGGTTTGGCCATACAGGGAAGCAGGTTCCTCACGCGGCCAAACCCACCCCCTTACCCCTTTGCCTCTCCCCCTCGCCCTTCGCAACCTCCAGACCAGGTACAAGCAAGGGCACATGGCGCACTATGTGCAGGGAGCAGCGTTCAACTGGGCGCACCTGATGGGCAAGAACTTCTACCACTTCACCGTCGAGCTCGTGCCACTCTTCCTCGTCGTCGCCCCCCTCATGCCGCAACTCAGGACACTGCCTGTGATCCTGAGGAAGCCCCAGGTGGGTGCGAGGGAGTCGCCTTGGGCTTTGAGGCACACGGTAGGTGCAGATGGGTTGCGTTGGGCTGTCGTGAGCTCGTGTTGCTCTTCCGCGTTGTCGCGCCCCTCATGCCTCGTCCTCAACCCTTCAATCCTCAAGACGCCACAGGCGGCTTCTTGGGAGTTGCTGTGGGGGCTAAATTCTCTCACAATTCGCCCACAAGTCGCCCTCTAGTCGCCTCAATTGCCTCTCGCTTTTTCTATCTCTATCTCTGTCTCCTCCTGTTCGTTTTCTCCCGTGCATGTGTGTGCATCGCCCGTCCCTCTCTCATCAGTGGCTGTACTACGACAAGTGGGCAGCGCCTATCCTGGGCATACAGCGGGAGAACATGCGCATGCTCCCCATCTATTTCAATGACCTCATCCACGTTGACGTGCTGTACCAGGTAAGTTGTTCTCACATGAGATCATGGTTCGGTGCTGTACCAAGTAACGCAGTTACCACATCACATGAGTTCATGGTGGTATTGGTAGCATACTCATGGTTGAAATCTGCGAGTCGATTTCCAATGCCACATCCACGTCCACGTGCTGTACCACCAGTTTTGTGGTTACCGCAACTACCTGGTAATTTGTTACCAGATAGTGTGGTTACAAGTGCTTTCGTGGCATTAACTGTTAGCATAGTTACCTGCGAGTGCTGCCCATCTACTTCAATGACCTCATCCATGTCGACATGTTGTACCAGGTAACATGGTTACCAGCTAACGAGGTTACCGCGTAATGTGCTTTCATATGAGTTTGTGGCGATATTTGTAACATACTTTCTCCCTAATGCTGCCCATCTACTTCAATGACCTCATCCATGTTGACGTGCTGTACCAGGTGATATGGTTACCATATAATGCGCTTTTGCATGATTTTGTGGCAGTATTTGTGACATACTTACTCACTTATGTCACTCACTAACGACATCATCCATGTCAACGTGCTGTACCAGGTGATGCGGTTACCAGGTAACGCGCTCTGTATCCATGCCCCTGTGCGCATCAATGCCTTTCAACCATATAGTAACCGTGGCCGCACGCGACCATCTCAACCTCCCTCTTCATCACTCCTCTCCCACTCTCCCCCTTTATTTCCTCCACCTCCTGTCCTGCCTCCTCTTCCTCAACTCCCCCCTCCACCTCCCCCCACCCAGCCCATATACCAGGAGGGACTGCGACCATCCCAGCCCCTCTCTCTCTCTCTCTCTCTCTCTCTCTCTCTCTCTCTCTCTCTCTCTCTCTCTCTCTCTCTCTCTCTCTCTCTCTCTCTCTCTCTCTCTCTCTCAAGCGGTCCGTGTATTAGATCTGAGCAAGTACAGACATGCAGGAAGGATATAGAGTCTAGCAAGAAGGCCTCTAACACTCCTATATCCTACTCACACTCTTGCTCCATCTAAGGGAGCTCCAGAACCGGCTCCAGGATGGCCAGGCAGTCCCCAAGGGACATGCCGTCGCCCGGCATCTCCACAGGTGGGTTCTCCACCTGAGCTGCAAAGTTACACTTGGTCATGAAGCTCACGGACTGAGCCCGCTGCAACGCCACGGACCACCGCTGGCGGAACTGGTGAAGCAGCTTGGTTGCCTGGTAAGATGAGGGGGCCGCATTGAAGTGCCTGCGGGCGGCAGTATCGGCTAGCAGTTTGAGAAATTGGGGGACTTCCGCACAAGGGCAGCCGTAAGTGTCGACGGCCAGTGGGAAGAATCCGACCCAAGAGGCCGTGGAGCCCTCGTAATCGGAGATCTTCTTCTCTGCCGCCTCACGGGCTGCCCACCCCCTGCCCTTGACCGTGTTGGGGTCACGTGTGCTAATGGGGTCCGTGATGGTAACGTCCCCAATCCACACGGCCCCTGAGGTCTTGTCTCTGATTGCTATGTCGGCCTTCTTTCTCGTGACGGGACAGAACGCCGTCGTCTCGCTGTGAGTCATGAAATCCGCGTCGCTGGCCATCCGCAAACATTCGTCGCGCAGTTCGTTGTGAGTGTTTGTCCTCCCCTTCCCCGTGTCACAGCGTAGGAGATGGTTGGGCAGCCGCCTATCTGGGATTAACGTTTCGTTGCGGCAATCACAGGCACCAGGGGCCGAAGAGGGAAGCCCCATCCGAAACTCCAGCGCATGTGCAAAATGGGCCGGGGCAAGGCGCAGCGAACTGTTGAAGGGTACCGCGTTGAGCCAGTCTCCCGCCCCGTACCCCGAGAGCGAGAGCATGCGCTGCGTGTGCCCGCTAAGTGGGTTCAGCGGCATGATGCGAGTGGCCTGCACCTGCTCTGCGTAGCGCTGGCCGTGCACCGCGACAGCCAGCCCCTGCTGCAACTTGACACCCTTGGGATCAGTCCGGTCGCTCTGCAGCAGCTCCTTTCCCTCGTCTGGCAGCGACTCCTCGCACCGCTCCAACCAATCAAATAGGGGGGTTGTGTTGATAAAAGGCCCCTTCATCCGCGTCCGTACTTCCGCCAGCGCGCCTATCGCTGCCTCGTCAATAGAGGTGAGTAGGTGCTGGGCTTGGGTGTAGCTTGCAAGGAAACCCACGCGTCCTTCCACCGAGGGGTCTGTTAGCCCCAAGCCTCCAAGCGAGATCGGGAGCGAGGCTTGTGCCCAGGTACGCGAAATCTCTTCCTCCCCACGTGGGTGGCGGATGCCACAAGCCGTCAGCAACGTCTGGAAGAGGCGCTGGCCCCAGTCGGACCACTCCTCAACAGGTAAGGCAGAGAGGGGTGTGGTGCGGGCAACATAAGAGACCCGGCGTGAGATGCACCGCGTGAGCAGAAGTGAAGCCAACTGCGGCTCCATCCGCTCGATTAAGGGGAGGGGCCCGCCCATGTTGTCGAGGCTATCACGCAGGAATGCCGCCGTCGCATCGGTGCCACCAATGAAACTGCCGAGCACCTTGACTCCATCATCCACAAAAGGTACGCCCTCCGGAAGCACCGCTCCACGCCGACCTGCCTGTGACCACGCCGCGCATTTGGCCGGATTGTGGCGCAGCCCAATCTCCCCAAGGTTTCCCGTGAAATCTTCAAAAGCTGTTGCACACGAAGCTGGCTCACCAAGAAAGGTGACGTCGTCCGCATAGGCTAGGCAAACCACGGACGGGAAGGTAAGAGCCGTCTTCGCCAGAGCGGGGTGTATGGCAGCCGCAAAAAGCAGTGGACCGAGAGGGTCCCCCTGCCGCACTCCGGCCTCGCTCAGGAGGGGTGGATGAGAGAAGCCTGCGTCGAGGCAGAGGGCTGAGGGAAGGCCATACAACAGCTTTACCAGCGGCAGGAGGGAAGCGAGGGGGGATCCGCGGAGCGCCGTGACAATGGCTGCCCTGTTCACGCTGTTGAAAGCGTTCGCCAGGTCCGCTTGCAGGACCAGGGCCCCCGTGTGCAATGTAAGGTAGGTTCGTGTGATGTGGATTATTGCCTCGGCCCCCCCGGGAACCGCCACGCCGAACTGGTGCGGAAGGAAAAATTCTCGCGCGGCTCCTGCAGTCAAGGTAAGCGCCGTCTTTGCAGCTAGACGTGTGATGCTCTCGCCGATAGCAATCGGCCGAGTTCCTTCATCGGGCTTGGTGAGGGCGATCAGCTGCGAGGCAGTGAGGAGCTCGGCTACTGCTGGAGGCAGCTTTCCTGTGAGAATCGTATTAACGAGTCCGTGCAGGTGTTTCCCGACGGAGTGGTTGATCAGCGCCGCATCACGTAAGTGTTCGAACGTTGTTCCAGAGGGGCCAGCTCCTACTCCCATCTCACAGCTTCCCAGCACCTTGGAAAACACTGCAAAAGGTGCGGATAGGTGTGGGTCGGGTGCAGGGAAGGTCCAGTCCGGTGGGGAGGTAGGTGCCGGTGGGTGCTTGGCGCGCAAAGCTTCTAGCACGCTTGGGGATGGAACGCTGACTGGCGTGGCTTCAAGTGCCAGCACGGCCCGCCGTAAGCTGCCACGTCGCGCGAGCCCCTCTGCCCTGGCGATGACGCCAATGTCTTCGGGCTGATGTCTGGGTGGCTGGGGCCACGAGAGGGAATCCACAGTTTCCGTGTACAGTTTGTCCCATTCGCCACACAGAAACTGGCGAAGGCGGCCCTCAACAGCCTTCCAGTCTGGATGTCGAGGAGACCTCTGGCGCAGTGTCAAGCGTGCGACCGATCTATTTCTCTAGCTTCAAAGCTATTGTCGTTTTCTGAGAACAATACTAACAGCAGCAAAGTCCAAGCGGAATCCGATTCTGGATTCTCTGCCAAGCGCAGCAGAGGTACTAGCATTGCCGTGGCGAACAGTTTGCGTGGGTCGGGGGGGAGGTGGCGGGAGAGAGGGGCGTGGCGAGAGTCGCGCAGTATCCCAGGTGGCCACTTTGGCGAAGAGGGTGTCATCACTGGCGAGAGATTCAAGGGATCTTTCTTCGGGGGGGGGGTTGAGTTTGAGTGTGGTTACCACCTGGGGCAGAGGGTGGAGCGGTTTGTGCAGGGGTTGAAAAGTTGGAAATCGTGGCTGGGGGTGGTGGTGTAGCAAAAACGCCCGTCGCGGCGCGGGTTGGTGTTGGGGGACCCCTCCTCCCTATGGACCGCGGAGCCGTGCCACCTCCCCCAGTGTGGGATGGTGTAGCCCTTCCTGCTCTAACTGGAGTCTGGTGGTGTGTCTCCTCCACGGACTCTGAACTCGAAGTGGAGTCTGTCGATTCGGCTGGTACAAAGCTGCTGCCCGAAGAGCTACTGTCAGAAACCTCAGTCATTAAAGCCCGCCTTCCCGCCTACTGGTAGGCGTTCTCTGGCCCGCCTCCGCGTGCTCGCCCTCCGCCGCCCGCTGTTCTCCCCCCCCGTCCAGCAGGGATCGCCCCCGATCTTCCTTCGTCCGCGTTTGGCGCAGAAGCCTCCCCTCGCCTTGATGGAAAAGACTGCTGCTCCTGGCCGCGGCTGTACCGCGGAGAGCGAGCCTGCTCCCCGCCCGCATCCTCCTGCGCGACCTGCCGCGAGCGTCCCCGTCGCTCCGATGGGGGTGGATGAACAGATCCGCCGCCGATTCGAGGAGCAGCAGCGCGATCTGCCGCGGACCCAGTCGCGCAAAGATCAGGCGCCCGCGGAACCCGTCGTGCGCTCCGGCGCCGAGGCAATGGCGCACCGGGGGCGGTCGCCTCGGCGCCGCTCGTCGGTGACGCGCGAGGAAGGGCGGGCGGACCGCCGCGGCGATCGCCGCGAGAGATCTCCGTCGCCCCTTCCGCCGCGTTCGCCGCGTTCGCCTCGTTCACCTCGTTCGCCTCGGCCCGCGGTATCGCGGAGCCGGTCCCGAGATCGTTGGACGCGCCGCCACCAGTCCCCTGCTCGCCGTTCGACACGGCAGCGATCCCCTCATCGTCCCGCCTCTCGTCACCGATCCCCCGCTGCGCATTCGTCGCGGCCGTCAAAACGCTAGCGGCTTCACTCTCCTCGTCGCGGGGGCCGATCCCCTGGGCGACAGCGCCAACGCGTGCAATCTCGCCCGCAATCGCCCGCGCGGTCGAATGTGAGTGGGCGCCATGGGCGCCGTGGAGGCTATGGCCGTGGCGGGGCGGCGCCGCGGGCGCCGTCCGCGATGGAGCGCGTGCTCCAGAGGCTGGACGGCATGGAAGAAGCCATTCATCGTACGAGGGCGGAATCGTCGTCTCGTCCCGCGCGTCCACCTGCTCCCGTTGTTCCACTCGCCGCCCTCCTGCCGCATGATCCCGAGGGCTCCCTCGTGCGTCCTGGTCGACCGTTGCCTGCTGGGGCCGGCTTCGTGGGTGCGGGGGGCGGTGATCCGTGGGCCCCGTTTGTTCCGCCGCGCCCTGCTCCACCTCCACGCGATTATGCAGTGTCGTCTCGTCGAGCTCGAGCCTCTGCGGGGCTGCCGGCGATGAAGGAAGTGCCCACGACGACCCTGGCGCACTTATGGTCGCTTGCAGAGTGCCTGCAGGGTCTTGAGGTGGTCCTTGTGGAGTCCCACGGCTCCATGTCGGTGACCCCACCAAGCATGTTCTCTCAGATGCCGCGAGCAAGGTGTCACGCGGCGGCGTCAGCAATATTCTCGTACGTATCGCCACTGCAGGCTGCGCCCTTGCCGGGAGTAGTCTCGGCCACCCAGCTGGCTGAGAAGGCCCTGGATCTGAAGACGCTTGTAGGAGATCGCGGAACTCCTGTTGACGTTGTCGGCGCCACCGCGTCAGTGGTCCGCTTGATGTGGCTGACCACGCGCGAAATGCTAGGTGAGCTTGAGGCGGACTGCATGTAGGCGCAGCCCTCGTGCGCGTGTAGACCCGCTCCATGTGATTGTGCCTAGATGTACTTGCTCGCCATTGTTGTTGTCAATGTCTTGCTAGTTGGCCTCGGTTGTGGTGTTCTTGTCACCTCTCACGCGCGGCCGAAGGCCGCGCACGCGAGCGCCGGAAAATTGCTTTGAAGAACCAAGCGAATAATGAGTTAGATCAGAGGCCGAGAGGCCATTATATAGGGGTGGGAGGGATGAAGAGGCTAGGTGCTAGAGGCTGGGTAAGATGCTCCCTCTCTCTCTCGCTCTCTCGAGCGAGCGCCGGAAAATTGCTTTGAAGAACCAAGAGAATAATGAGTTAGATCAGAGGCCGAGAGGCCATTATATAGGGGTGGGAGGGATGAAGAGGCTAGGTGCTAGAGGCTGGGTAAGATGCTCCCTCTCTCTCTCGCTCTCTCGAGCGAGCGCCGGAAAATTGCTTTGAAGAACCAAGCGAATAATGAGTTAGATCAGAGGCCGAGAGGCCATTATATAGGGGTGGGAGGGATGAAGAGGCTAGGTGCTAGAGGCTGGGTAAGATGCTCCCTCTCTCTCTCGCTCTCTCGAGCGAGCGCCGGAAAATTGCTTTGAAGAACCAAGCGAATAATGAGTTAGATCAGAGGCCGAGAGGCCATTATATAGGGGTGGGAGGGATGAAGAGGCTAGGTGCTAGAGGCTGGGTAAGATGCTCTCTCTCTCTCTCTCTCTCTCTCTCTCTCTCTCTCTCTCTCTCTCTCTCTCTCTCTCTCTCTCTCTCTCTCTCTCTCTCTCTCTCTCTCTCTCTCTCTCTCTCTCTCTCTCTCTCTCACTGTCTCTGAGGCGATTTTTGGGACTTGTATTCGGCTTTTGGCACATCTCAAAAGTCAATATCTGACAGTTGTAATCAATCTCCTGCGACCATCCCAGCCTCCCTCGTTAAGACTGCCCTCCTTTGCCCCCCTTCCCCCCGGCCCCCCCCCCTCCCCTCCTCCCTCCCCCCCAGCCCATAAACCAGGACTGCGACCATCCCAGCCCCTCGCTCTGGCAAATGTTCCGCCGACACCACCTGCTGCACCCTTCCGGCCTGCCTCTCTTCAAACCCGACTGGACCTACCGTCAGCAACGCGCCCCTCTCTCTGCCTCTCAGGCGCGCGCCTTCCCCCTCAACTGGGTGGTGGTGCTGGCGAGCCGGCCTGAGGGTGGGGCGAGAGCGCTGGTGAACAAGGGCGAGGTGGAGGGGGAGTTGGTGCGGCGGTTTGGGAGGGAGCGAGTGGTTGTTTTCAACGGGTCGATGCCCATTCTGCAAGGTGGGTTGTTCTGCCCTTTTCTCTGCTCAAGAATTGGCGCCTTCCCCCCCGACTGGGTGGTGGTGCTTGCGAGCCGGCCTGAGGGTGGGGCGAGAGCGCTGGTGAACAAGGGCGAGGTGGAGGGGGAGTTGGTGCGGCGGTTTGGGCGAAAGAGGGTCGTGGTTTTCAACGGGTCGATGCCCATTCTGCAAGGTGGGTTGTTCTACACTTTTTTTTTGCTCGGAAGTTGGCGCCTTTCCCCCTGACTGGGTGGTGGTGCTGGCGAGTCGGCCAGAGGGCGGGGCGAGAGCGCTGGTGAATAAGGGCGAGGTGGAGGGGGAGTTGGTGCAGCGGTTTGGGAAGGAGCGAGTGGTGGTGTTTGATGGATCGATGCCAATTTTGCAAGGTGAGTGTTCTGCTCCTCTCTCTGCCTCTGAGGCACGAGCCTTTCCCCCCAACTGGGTGGTGGTGCTGGCGAGTCGGCCAGAGGGTGGGGTGAGAGCTCTGGTGAATAAAGGGGAGGTGGAGGGGGAGTTGGTGCGGCGGTTTGGGCGAGAGCGAGTGGTGGTGTCTATTGGATCGATGCCAATTCTGCAAGGTGAGTGGTGCTGGCAAAACGGCAGGAAGGGAAGCAAGGGCGCTGGTGAGTGGTGGGCAGGTGGAGGTGACGTTGGTGGCGGCAGTTCAGAAGGGAGCGAGTGGTGGTGTTTGACGTCTCGATGCCCATTCTGCAAGGTGAGGGTTTGTGTTTTGAGGCATCTTTGACTCGCTGGTGAATGGGTGGAAGGTGAAGGTGGCTTTGGTGCGGTGCGGCAGCGGCGGTTCGGGTGGTGGGATGGTGTGTGGTGGCTCAGTGGCCATCTTGCAGTGTGTGTGAGGCAAGCACAGAATGGTTGCTGGGTGGACTGATAAGTGGTGGACTGGTGGTGGACTGAGTAGGTGATAGTCATGCGTGAGGAGGAAGTGGTGGTGCCAACCAATCCTGTGGTGCTGTTGTTTGTTGCAGTCGAAGCAGTTATCGGTGTTCACCGCTTCAGACCATTGTGCACCAGAGTAGACCTCACAAAGTCAACTGAACGAAAATGATCCGGCCTTAGCGTACATGGCCAGGCAACTACCCACTTCTGGTTCACCATGAAACCCCTCCTATTAACTTACTTTTTCTAAGTTCCTGCTTCCTTCTGCATTCCCCTGCTCCATCCTGCTTTGCCCTACCTTCCCGTGCTTCCCCTACTCCCCCTTCTCCTTACTTCCCCGTCCTACCCCACCAACCCCTCCCCTCAGCCCGCTTGCTATTCCGGCGCACGCGCTTCCTCCTGGGGGTGCATGGAGCAGCACTCACCAACACCATTTTCATGCCCGAGGGGGCTGCGCTGCTCGAGATGCGCCCTAGGGATTGCCACGTCGCCGTGTTCCACCCGCTTGCTGCCGCCTGCTCGATTGCTTACCATCTGCTGCTAGCGCAGGGTGATTGTTCTTCTCCTACGGTGGTGAATTTGCCTAGTGTGGCTCGGGTGATTGATATGGTTTATACACGTTTAAAGAGGGAGGATGGTAGGGGTTTGTTGCTGGTGGATGATACAGTTTTGTCACATCGTAATGGAAATAATGAGACAAGGAAATAAATTATGTTCAGGAAGTGTTGTACTTTGGGGCAACTGCCTTCAATAAAATGAATGTGTTATTGGTAGTGTTGATGAATGAGAGCCCATTATAAGCTGGGAAGGCACCAATAGAATGAGAGCCAATGGTGAATCTTCTCCTAAACCTCTAATATCGACAACGGGTTTCGCAAACCCCTCTCAAGATTTCGCCAGTAGTTCAGGTAACACTCCTTTTCGCGAACTCGAGTCTCGTCTGCTCCGCGTTAGGCTCGTGCCGACCCAAGGAGATTCACGACGACACGTGCGGCATGGGCTACTCACCGCGATCGAGTAGCAGCGTTGGAGAGGGGATTCGCTACTGTTGCGCGCGGGAGTGAGATAGACGCAATGCTGGTGATTCACACAGCAACGAAAGGCAGGGTGGGCGACCGCAAGTGAGAACGCGAGGGGTGTCGGCGGGAGCAAGTGGGAGATAGTAGATTCGTGATTCAGCTGCGAGGCTCGTTAGGGAGGAGCGCGAGGTAATGGCGACGAGAGATCGAAGGGCGGGCGAGGGGGATTCAGAGAGGGATGGAAGGGCGGAGGAGGATGGCGGGGCGGCAACAGGAGCGGAGGGCGATACGAGGGGGAGGCGCGGGGGGCTGTACCTTCCGCGGAAGGGGACTGCGGCATACGCGCTGCTCATATGCCTCCTCAGGTGCCTCCTCAGATGTCTTTCCAGGTGCTTCCTCAGATGTCTTTCCAGGTGCTTCCTCAGATGTCTTTCCAGGTGCTTCCGCAGATGCCTTTTTAGGTGCCTCAGGTGGCTTTTCAGGTTCCTCAGGTGCCTTTTTCAGCTGCCTCCTCGGATTCGCTCAGGTGCCTCCTCCGGTGTTCATCTTGCTTCACTGCTGGCAATCCCTTCTCCCTCCTCTCCCCCCTACTCCCCGGTCCCTACTGCTGTTTTGGTACTAGGAGCAGTGGGCGGAGAAGAAAGCCCCTTATCCCCCACCCCTTCTCCACTGTTGCGCCTCTTCGGAACTTGCAGGGCGCAACAGCAGGGGCAGGGCAGGATGAACAAGGAGCAACTGGTAGCAGCAGTGGAGGGGAGCGGTCTCACAGACACCAACATGCGGTGAGAGGCGGGAGGGCATAGGGTGAGAGAAGGGGGGCATGGAGGCATGGGCATGCGGTGAGAGGGAGGCCCTTGGGTTGCTGTGAGGGAGAAAGCAGAAGCATGGAGGGCCTTCTGAGAGCCCTCAGAAGCAGCTGGTAGCAGCAGTGCAGGCTAGAGGACTCACAGACACCAACATGCGGTGGGTGGAGGGAGGGAACATGGGTTGAGAGAAGGGGGGATATGGAGTGAGAGAAGGGGGTTATGGGGTGAGATAGAGGGGGGGCATGCTGTGAAAGAGCGGGAGGTATGGGCGGTATTTTAATGGGGTGAGAGTAAAAGGGGGTGTTGCATTCAGTGGGTGAGGTGAGAATACGTGGTTTGTGAACGGGGCATGGGCATGTGTATGGCAGGCATGAGTGTGGCATGTGTGTGGCATGTGTAAGGCATGCATGTGCCGTGTGTGTGACATGTGTATGTCGTGGCTCATGCTTATTGTGGCGAAGATTGCTTTAATGATAGCTCCTTGTTGCCATCCTCCCTTCATCTCTTCTCTTTCGGTTCTGCCCTCTTCCCTCGTGCCGCTCCTCACTCGCCCTGTGCTCCCCAAAAGCCCTTCGTTTTGCATCGAAGTGTGCCGTGCCAGTTCTTCCCCCATGGGGCCCCACACGCTTTGATGCGCCTCAAAAGTATTTCCCACCCCACTCTGTGTGTCTCAACATTTGCCCCAATGTGCGCCCCAAACCAAGCCCTTCCATCCCGCGTCAGGGTGTGCCATGCCAGTCATTCGCCCACGTGGGTCACAACCTTTGGGGCTCCTCAAAAGGCTTTCCCTTCCTCCTTCTGCGCCTCACATGTCGATCTCCCCTCCCCCCCCTCCTCCCCATCCCCCTCTCTCTCCCCTCTTCTGTGCGCCCCAACCCAAGTCCATCCATCCCGCATCGGGGTGTGCCGTGCCAGTCCTTCGCCCACGTGGGGCACAACTTCTACTGCGGATGGAGCGCAGTCACCACGCTCAGGCAACACTCACTCGTGCACTGGCAGCAGGGCCGCCCCTCCCTGTAAGAACCATGTTTTGCTTGCATGCGTCCCTGCCCGATCGTCCGTCACACAACTTCTACTGCGGATGGAGCGCTCTCACCACGCTCAGGCAGCATGTGCGGGTGCATTGGCAGAAAGGCCGCCCCCCCTGTGAGTGTGTTGGGTTCTGCCCGCCCTGCCGTGTAAGAGCGCTGCATTGGTCACGTCACGCGCATCCCTATGTGTCCGCTAGTGCGTCGCACAACTTTACTGCGGCTGGAGTGCACTCATCATGGACTGGCAACGCCGCCGGTGCGTGCGCTGCTGTGAGAGTGCTGCTGCTTCTGCCCGGCTCTGTAAGAGCGCAAATTTTATCACGTGCTTCATTCATCTCTTGCTGCCCTCATGCCATGCCACCCAATGCCACCCGATGCCACCCGATGCCACCCGATGCCACCCGATGCCACCCGATGCCACCCGATGCCACCCGATGCCGCCAAATGCTACCCGATGCCACCCGATGCGCATCTCTAACCTTCCCCTCACGACACATCCCTTCTCCGCAACCCCGCACGACCCACCGGCCCCGCACTACACATCCCTTCTCCGCAACCCCGCACTACCCACCTTCCCCGCACTACACAGCCCTTCTCCGCAACCCCGCACGACCCACCGGCCCCGCACTACACATCCCGGCTCCGCAACCCCTCACTACCCACCCCCCGCACTACACAGCCCGGCGCCGCAACCCCGCACGACCCACCTTCCCCGCACTACACAGCCCTTCTCCGCAACCCCTCACGACCCACCTTCCCCGCACTACACAGCCCTCCGCAACCCCGCACGACCCACCTTCCCCTCACGACACAGCCCGGCGCCTCAACCCCTCACGACCCACCTTCCCCTCACGACACATCCCTTCGCCTCAACCCCGCACGACCCACCGGCCCCGCACGACACATCCCGGCTCCGCAACCCCGCACTACCCACCCCCCGCACTACACTTCCCTTCTCCGCAACCCCGCACTACCCACCTTCCCCTCACGACACATCCCTTCTCCTCAACCCCTCACGACCCACCTTCCCCTCACTACACATCCCTTCTCCTCAACCCCTCACGACCCACCTTCCCCTCACTACACTTCCCTTCTCCTCAACCCCTCACTACCCACCTTCCCCTCACTACACTTCCCTTCTCCTCAACCCCTCACTACCCACCTTCCCCGCACTACACATCCCTTCTCCTCAACCCCTCACTACCCACCTTCCCCTCACTACACTTCCCTTCTCCTCAACCCCTCACTACCCACCTTCCCCTCACTACACATCCCTTCTCGTCAACCCCTCACTACCCACCTTCCCCTCACTACACATCCCTTCTCCTCAACCCCTCACTACCCACCTTCCCCTCACTACACATCCCTTCTCCTCAACCCCTCACTACCCACCTTCCCCTCACGACACTTCCCTTCTCCTCAACCCCTCACTACCCACCTTCCCCTCACTACACATCCCTTCTCCTCAACCCCTCACTACCCACCTTCCCCTCACTACACTTCCCTTCTCCTCAACCCCTCACTACCCACCTTCCCCTCACTACACATCCCTTCTCCTCAACCCCTCACTACCCACCTTCCCCTCACTACACATCCCTTCTCCTCAACCCCTCACTACCCACCTTCCCCTCACTACACATCCCTTCTCCTCAACCCCTCACTACCCACCTTCCCCTCACTACACATCCCTTCTCCTCAACCCCTCACTACCCACCTTCCCCTCACTACACATCCCTTCTCCTCAACCCCTCACTACCCACCTTCCCCTCACTACACATCCCTTCTCCTCAACCCCTCACTACCCACCTTCCCCTCACTACACTTCCCTTCTCCTCAACCCCTCACTACCCACCTTCCCCTCACTACACATCCCTTCTCCTCAACCCCTCACTACCCACCTTCCCCTCACTACACTTCCCTTCTCCTCAACCCCTCACTACCCACCTTCCCCTCACTACACATCCCTTCTCCTCAACCCCTCACTACCCACCTTCCCCTCACTACACTTCCCTTCTCCTCAACCCCTCACTACCCACCTTCCCCTCACTACACTTCCCTTCTCCTCAACCCCTCACTACCCACCTTCCCCTCACTACACTTCCCTTCTCCTCACCCCTGCCTCTGCGCCCCCTGCCTCTGCGCCCCCTGTGTTGCTTATCTTATCTCGCAGATACTCCCTCACGCCGGCAGGGGTGACTGCAGCACAGATGTGCATGGAGCGAGCAGGGCTGCAGGCAGGTGTGCGTGGGGAGAGGGATGAGGGGTGAGTTGGGTAGGAGAGGGGGCAGCAGAGACATGCATGCCTCTCCATTTCCATTGCCTATGATGCATACCCAATGTACCCCATGCCCATACCACGTCCCATATGGCAGCTATTGCCCATAGGTACCCCATACCCATACGGTACCCCATGCCCCATGCTTGATGCGTTGCAATCACTCACCCTCAATGTCCTTGTTTCCCCTCTTCTTTCTCCACCTCATCCCCATGGCACGCCACGCATCGCACGCCACTCAATCCCGCGACCCACCATCAACCTGTGCTTTCCTCCCTGCCTCTCTCTACCTCCCTACCTTCCTTTCGTGCCTACCTGCCATCTCTCTCACCCCAGACTCCCTCGTGCAGCCTTCGGATGCTCCACCGTCCTCTACCGCTCCGCCACCCTCCACCAGTGCTCTGCCATCCGCCCCTCCACCAGCAGCTATGCCGCCATTCAATCCACCCGCTCACCAGGTGAACCTCGGTCTTTTCGCAATCACTTGAAGTCAACATAACTCAGCTCACGCTAGCGAACAGAAGTTGCTCTTATGTCTGAAATGCAACCAAACTGCCTCCCTTACAAGGTGATTCATGGGGAAACTGATCTCAAGAGATTATGAGAAGTTCTTCAACCCCTTGAACATGCATTGCATGCAGGCAGCAGAGGTGCAAGAAGATAGACCCAATATTGGGACGCAGGAGGCAGGAGTCACAAGGGGTGCGAGAGGAGGGAGGGGTCGAAAGCGGCAAGCAAGCAGTGCTGCCGATGCTGGGGTGACTGTAGCAGCCCGAGCCGCAGTAGCAGCAGCAGCAGAAGCAGCAGTGAGTGTGCCAGCAGCAAGGAAAAGAAGAGCACAAGCATCAATAGCAGCAGCAGCGGTAGGAGAAGCATCAGCACCACTCAGTAGCAGAGGTGGAGGAGCAGCAGCAGCAGCAGCAGGACAGGGAGAGGCAGTGCTGGGAAGTGAAGCCTCAGCATTTCTGGCATCGCTGCATGCAGTGAATGGTACGTGCATGCATCCACAAAATGAGTGGTGTTTGTATATGGTTTAGGGTGTTTGGTTATTGCTTTAGGGTTTAAGGTTAAAGGTGCGTGCATGCATCCACGAAATGAGTGGTGTGGTGTTTGTATGCATTAGCTTCCTCCCAATTTTCTGTCTCAAAATTCTCTCCTTTGCCGTTCCCTCCCTGCTCTCACACTGCTTGCCCCTACACTGCAGCACCTCCCCTTTCTCTTTCACAGTCCGCCCATCTCCCATCACGCCCCACCTACCTCCCATCACTACCCACCCACCACCCATCGTCGCCACCCACCTGCCTGTCACTCGCGGAGACGGCTGACATTCGCCTGCCCCCGCTGGCGGAGGGGCAGCGCTTCTGTGATGCGTACCGCGTGGTGCTGCTGATTGACAGCCGGGAGAAGGGGTGAGGAGGGGTGAGGATGAGTGGGCAGGGGTGAGAAAGGGATGGAATGGGTGGTGAGGGGTGGAAAGGGATGAGGGTGGGGTGCATGCTTACAGAGACGGCTGACATTTTCCTGCCCTCACTCGCTGAGAAGCAGTACTTCTGTGATGCGTACCGGGTGGTGTTGCTGATTGACAGCCGGGAGAAGGGGTGAGGACGGGTGGTGATGGGGGATTGGGAAGCGGCGAGAATGGGGGTTTAGAAAGGGGTGATAATGGATGAGGAGGGTTGGTAAGGGGTAATTTTTTATGAGATGAGTGGACTATTTGGCTGTTCCCATTCTCCCTTTCTCCTTCTGGTCCTAACACTGTAGGCAAGCCCATCAATCTTCCCTTTTCTCCACTTTGTGTCTCTTCTCCCTCATTTTTCACTCCCATCTACCCTCCTTTCCGCTGTTCTCTTTATCCGCACTCCCCATCTGGCCAACAGGGCAGCACAGCTCACCGAGTTTCTCACCAGAGTGGAAAAGCTTCCCGCACAGGTGCCTTGCTCTCTGCATTGCTCTCTGCATTGCTCTCTGCTTTGCTCTCCGCCTTGCTCTCTGCTTTGCTCTCCGCCTTGCTCTCTGCCTTGCTCTCCGCCTTGCTCTCTGCCTTGCTCTCTGCCTTGCTCTCTGCCTTGCTCTCTGCCTTGCTCTCTGCCTTGCTCTCTGCCTTGCTCTCTGCCTTGCTCTCTGCCTTGCTCTCTCCCTTGCTCTCTGCCTTGCTCTCTGCCTTGCTCTCTGCATTGCTCTCTGCCTTGCTCTCTGCCTTGCTCTCTGCCTTGCTCTCTGCCTTGCTCTCCGCCTTGCTCTCTGCCTTGCTCTCTGCCTTGCTCTCTGCCTTGCTCTCTGCCTTGCTCTCCGCCTTGCTCTCTGCCTTGCTCTCCGCCTTTCTCTCTGCCTTGCTCTCTGCCTTGCTCTCTGCCTTGCTCTCTGCCTTGCTCTCCGCCTTGCTCTCTGCCTTGCTCTCCGCCTTTCTCTCTGCCTTGCTCTCTGCCTTGCTCTCTGCCTTTCTCTCTGCCTTGCTCTCTGCCTTGCCTCTCTGCCTTGCTCTCTGCCTTGCTCTCTGCCTTGCTCTCTGCCTTGCTCTCTGCCTTGCTCTCTGCCTTGCTCTCTGCCTTTCTCTCTGCCTTGCTCTCTGCCTTGCCTCTCTGCCTTGCTCTCTGCCTTGCTCTCTGCCTTGCTCTCTGCCTTGCTCTCTGCCTTGTTCTCTGCCTTGCCTCTCTGCCTTTCTCTCTGCCTTGCTCTCTGCCTTGCCTCTCTGCCTTGCTCTCTGCCTTGCTCTCTGCCTTGCCTCTCTGCCTTGCTCTCTGCCTTGCCTCTCTGCCTTGCTAGCTAGTTGGCTTCGCCAGTGTTGCCTCTCTGCCAGCTGCTGCTGCGCATAACCCTAAACCTTAGATCTAAAACCCTGAAGCCCTAAGCGGGTGGCAGGACTCGCTCCATGCCATACCTGCAGGGACATTTTGGCAGGTGCTCCCCAACATTTTTTCTCTCTGTCCTTGTGTGCCTTCTCATGCCCACCCACCTCACGCCCTACCATCACGCCCTATCATCACGCCCTACCCATTCCTCCCCTCCGCCCTCACGCCCTGCCGCCTCCTGATCCAATTCATTCCTCCTCTCCACCTCCTCCCGCCATCACCATCAGGTCGCAGCGCTGCCTGTCGGTGATGCCGCCAGGGTGATTCACCTCCTCTCCCCTCCTCACCCCCTTCCCCCCCTAACCCCCCCTCCGCCTCCCACCTCACCCCCTGCCCACTCGCGCCCCGCCTGGTTCCCACCTGCTGCTGCCATCACCAACAGGTGGCACTGGCGGCACTCCCTGTGGGCGATGCCCTCTGGGTGGCTCAGCCCCTCGCCCGCACCTCACCCCTGCCCCCTCTCTCACTCGTTGTCACCATCATTAACAGGTGGTGGCACTCCCTGTGGGCGATGCCCTCTGGGTTGCTCAACCGCTCACTCCTCCCACCTCATCCGCCGCAACTCCCTCCTCGTCCTCCTCCTGTATTCCATCCCCCATCCCACCACCCTCCTCTGCTGTCCCCCCAGCCGCCCTCCCTGCCTCTTCCGCTTCCCCTGCTTTGCCCGGTGGCTCGCTGTTCTGCTTGGAGTGGGTGGCGGAGCGCAAGAGGGTGGACGACTTGTGGCAGTCAATCAAGTCAAAGCGGTTCAAGGACCAGAAGCTGAGGATCAAGGTCAGTTGAGTTGAAAGGGACCGGCAGTTGAGGATCAAAGTGCATTGACTTGAAAGGGATCAGAAGCTGAGGGTTACAGTTTGAGGTGACTTGAACGGACCAGAAGTTGAGTGTCAAGGTGGGTAAACCCGACAGACAGTTATAAATTGTGGGGAGCGAGGGAAAGAGGGACAGGGTGCGAGCCTGCAAGTGAACGTGTCTGAGAGCAAGCATCTGTGTGATTACTGGCTATTCCATGTGGCACTCTATTTTCCTTTCCTTCATCTTCTCACATATCTTCCCCTCCACTTCTGCTTCTCCTTCTCAGCACTGCAGTCTTGTTATGCTCGTATCCACACATTCCTCTCCTTTCTCTTGCTCTTTTCGCCCCACGCCTTTCCCCATGGCAGCACTGTGGTCTTCGCCGCCCAATCTACGTGGTGGAGGGCAATCTGGACGCCAGCAATGGCGCGGAGAGCCTGCGCACGGCGTACGTTGTCTCTTTCTCCGTCTCACGTTGTGTGTGTCATGTTACCCTTTTTTGTATTCTCTAGTGATTTAAATTGTCTCTCACCCCATCTCGTTATGTCACTTAGCTATCCCCGGGGAGCTCTTGTCTCCTGTGGAGTTGCATCACTCTCAAATGCATCACTACTCAAACATCTCAACAAATTTTCTCGTCACAACATTTTCACGCATGCTTGCTGAAATAGCAGCCAACTTCAGCTCGTTTTGGAGGTAATTTCGTTCTTTCCACCGTTTTTGACTCATCACCCACACCACCACGTCCATCCAGATCCCACTGCATGGTGGCTTAGACGTGCGTCACACCACGTGCATCCCTTTCCTCCCTCTCCCTTTCCTCCCTCTCCCTTTCCTCTCCCGCCTCTCCTATCCCTTCCGCACTATACCTGCACCCACGCCACCAGCTCCGTCCAAACGCTAGTGCACGACGGCTTTGACGTGCATCACACCACGTGCATCGATGCCCATTCTCTCCTAACTCCGTGCCTCATACTTCCTGCCCTTCCACTTCACCCATACTACACAAACCACCAGCTCAGTGCAGACACTAATCCACGATGGCTTTGACGTGCATCACACCACGTGCATCGCTCACACGCGCCGCCACTACGCCCACCTCACCCGTGCCATCGCTGACATCTGCAACCGCCTCTCCACTGCCTCTCATCACTCACCTTCTGTACTCCAACGCTCGCCATCCCATCCCACATCTTGCGACGGCTGCGTCACCTTTGATCAGTTTCTGGATGACTGTCGCTCCTCTCAGGCTCTCTCTGTGGGAGACGTTTTCGGCCACATGCTGCTGCAGGTGAGTTGAAGCCACGTGTTGCTGGGTGAGTTGCTGCCACGTGCTGCTGCAGGTGGGCGTTGAGTTGACTCAATAACTGATTGATTGATTTAGGATTCGGTTTTCCTGGATTGGACATGGTGTTGGGTCCCCTTCAAGAGCATCCAGAGTCACGTATCCCTGCTTCATCTCTGTGCTGTGCATGTCATGACATATGGGTGTCTATCCATGGTCTTGCTCCACCTAGCCTTTCTCCACACAGCCATCCTCTACTGCTACCCCTCATTCATGTCACTCCACTCCCACCCCATCCCCTTGCCGCGTGCTATCTTCCCCTCATCCCCTCGCTCCCCTCTTGCTGTGTGCCTTCTTCTACTCGTTCCCTCCTTGCCATGCGCTTTCTTTCCGTCATTCCTCAGGTGCGGGACCTCATGGCGGACACTGCCACTATCATCTCTGCGCCACCGCCCCTTATTCCCATCTCTCCATTCTCAAACCCCGCCTCTTGTCGTGTGCTATCTTTCCCTCGCTCCCACCAGGTGCGGGGCCTCACAGTGGGCATGGCTCCATCCTGCACCGCCACCACTCATTCCCATACCTTCGCTCCCTCCCCGTCCCCTTGTCCTTTGCTGCCCTCCCTTCCTCCCATCAGGTGCGGGGCCTCACTGTGAGCTACGGCCATCCTCCGCCGCTACCCCTCATTCCTCTCATCGCTCTCACTCCCCGCATTCCCCTCCCCTCGCATGCTATCTTCCCCTGTGTTCCATCAGGTGCGCGGCCTCACAGTGGACATGGCTACGGCCATCCTGCGCCGCTACCCCTCGCTGCCCGCCCTTCACGCTGCCTACACCTTTCTTGTGCGTCTACTGTCCCCTTCCCTTGGCTGCTTGACTGTTCGCTGCAAGATTTTGTGCAAAAGCCTACGTGAAAGTTTTTGTGGAGTTTCTTTCTTCTCTTGCATCCCAGCCATGGTTTTATAGCTCCACTTTCCTAACCCCAGGACGAACACTTATGAAAATTCTTTCCAGTCATGCTCGCCAAGTCATTCAATACTTCCATCTTAACATTCATCGTTTAACTCACATGTCACATGTTACTCAACTCTCCTTACTCACAGCTAGCGCACCTCCAATGGCTTGCCACTTCTGCGCTCGTCTGCACTGCACTCTTTTGCACTGCCTTTCCTGCTGCTGTGTTGCTCCCCATCCCCATCCCATGCCTCCCTCACATCTGCACCTCTCGCTCTCCCTCCCCTCTTTTTCTCACCCAGATTTAACACCTCTTTCTTTTCTGCTCTGTCTCACCCGCCCTCTCTCCCCCTCCCTTCCCCGTCTGTGCCACATGCATGAGCAGGAGGGTGACCAAGAGGCACAGGAGCGGTTGCTGTGTGGTGTGCATGTGAAGGGGAAGTCTGTTGGTGCTGCCATCAGTAAACGGGTTTATGAACTCTTGTGTGTGCCAGTCTAACACATGCACTTGGGTCTACTCTACTGTCTTGTCTGAAACCATCAATGCATTCTCATGAATCGTACAGTATGTAACTAATATAATGCCAGTGGACTCTTTCTGTACTGGAAGTAAACTTCATTTCAAGGTCGAAAGTATTCGTGCCAGCATGCATTTTACTGTGACTTGTAAAAAGCCAGGAGTAGTGGTTTCTTAGTCATTATTTGTAATGATACTTAAAATTGTATCTTTGAAAAGATTACTTTGAACAGCCGCCCTAGCTCAGTCGGTAGAGCGCAAGGCTCTTAACCTTGTGGTCGTGGGTTCGAGCCCCACGGGCGGCGTTCATTTATCTAAGTTCAGGATTTATTTGGGCATTGAAAGTTGTTGAGCTTGTTTTGTTCACTTCATGTGATCAATGCAACAACACCCAACCCTCTTCCTCTTTTACACCACCGCGCCACACAACAAATTGTTCTGATACAAACGTCGTTTTCATGTTCAGGGCGTCTCGCGGCTGGTGTGAATTTACTGTTGGTGGCATTTGAAATTCCTGGACAACCAATAGGGTGTCAAACATTATAACATTCTTGTTCTGGTGTTTCTTCTCGATATGGTACAGAGCGGTTAGGTTCTTAGGACCGCCTTTCAAGGACCGTTTTTCTTCGGGTCCACCGTTAACACTGCACCTTCCTCTGCCAGTGGCACGCCCCTAGTGCGCGTCTCTTCGCTGCCCGTCGCGCACCGTTTTCTGCCTGTCGCGCGCGCCGTTTTCAGCCCGTCGCGCGCGCCGATTTCTGCCCGTTGCGCGCGCCGATTTCTGCCCGTCGCGCGCCCCGATTTCTGCCCGTCGCGCGCCCCGATTTCTGCCCGTCGCGCGCGCCGATTTCTGCCTGTCGCGCGCGCCGTTTTCTGCCCATCGCGCGTGCCGTTTTCTGCCCGTCGCGCGCGCTGTTTTCTGCCCGTCGTGCGCGCCGTTTTCTGCCCGTCGCACGCCCCTAACACGTGCGCCGTTCCTGCCCATCGCGCGACCGTAGTGTGCGCGCCTTCACTGCCCGCTGCGCGCGCCAAGTGCACGCAGTTCTCTACCCACTGTGCGCCCCTGATGCGCACACCTTCGCTGCCCGTCACGCGCCCTTATCGTTTGTCCCTTTGCTGCCGTCGCGTGCCACCGCTGTCCCACGCGTCGCGCACGCCTCTGCCCCGTGCGTTGCCGCACGCCCCTACTGCGCGCCGCCGTGTCCGCGCGCGCCTCTGCCCCGCGCGTTGCCGCACGCCCCTACTGCGCGCCGCCATATCTGCGTGCACCTCTTGCGCGTCGTCGCTCGCCCTTGCCGCGCGCCGATGTGTCCCGTTGTTGCGCGCTGCCGCATGCCGAGCTGCGCTTGTGCACTGCCCTGCCGCAATGCCCGCGTCCTGCCCTACCACGTGCTGCCTCTAGGGGTGCTGAGTCTGAGGGTGCTGACACTGGAGGTGGTGAGCCTGGGGTTGTTCACTCTAAAGCATGAGGTCCTGGATGTGCTGGGGTTTTTGGTGCTAGAGGTACTGGGGCTGGGACTGCTGGTGTCGGTGGTGCTGGAGCTGGAGGTACTGGTAGTGGTTGTGCTGGAGGTACGGGAGTCGGGGGTACTAGAGGTTCTAGTGCAGGGGGTGCTGCGCAACCTGTACAGTGGTGACCGTTTTTCTGGCCTCAGCCAGAGTTGTCGCTCCCACCACCTGGCTCGGCGCTTCGCCAGGTTCTTAGTCTTCCGTCTTCCATTGGCCTTACTCCTCCCCTACTGTGTTCTCCGCCTGACCAGTCTCAACCACAGTTACAGCCTCACTCCCCACTACCTGCTCTTCCACCTTACACTGAGCAGACAACTCTCTGACAGAGCGTCGTCATCATGCGACTCATCCTGCCTCGCCTGTTCACACTGTTTGTCAGGCTCGTCGTGTTCGTCCTCCACCTGTCCTTGGTACACAATCTATGGCACTTTGTCCTTCCTCTGCTCCACTGAGTGTTGCCCTAACATCTCCTCCAACGTCTCTCTTCTTGACGGTCCTGACCCTGAGCTTGTCCTTGCTCGTACTGCTAGTTGCACTGTCACTCGTTGTTTGACCACACTTGTCACTGACCCTATTTTTGAGTCTGCTGATGCGTATGCCTTAGTCACTGAGCTTGTTGACTTTGCTTCTGCGTGTCGTCTTGACTACTTTGCGAATCTTGTTTATGACTCTGACTTTCTTCCGTCTGTCGGGGATGAGCTGAGCTTGCCCTTGGTAGTGACGTCCTTAAGGACAGGCATTTTGAGCTCGAGAGCCTCACGGATGCTGTACCTCATCACGTTGACATGCTGCTCTGCGCTGAGGGAGACCCGGATGCACTGGACATCGTGTCCCCGCGCTCTTACGCAGAGGCGATCACGGGTCATTATTCCTCTCTGTGGCAAGAGACAGCCATGGATGCAGAGACGGCATCCTGGGTACACACGTCAATGCAGTTTCCCCTCCTTTGGGGTGAAGCGGCCGCCGGGTTCTCCGCTTGTCCTTAAGGCCCCTTACGCTATACGGGGCTTCAGTCAGCGACAGGGGGTCGATTTCTTCTAGAATTCTCCCCCACCCCGAAGATGACCACTCTTATTGCAGCACATCGTGAATTTGAGGTGCACTTGCTTGACTTCAGCATAGCTTTCTTGCATGGCAGCTTTAACGAGGAGATCTGGCTATGCCGCCCAACTGACTTCACTTGG